AAAGTACTATGAAATCAATAAAAAGTAAAATAAAAGTTTTTGAAAAATTACTGAATATATTTCAAAATAAATCATATTTTTCCGTATGAAAATTTAATGTAATACTGTGAAATATAAGGAAAGTTAAAATATACTGCTGAAAAGTAATAAGAGTTTTGAAATATTAGACATGAAATTTACTGAATTAAACTAAAAACTGTGTTACTTTTTAATGAAAAATTGCTGAAGTATTTATGAAATTAATTTGTGAAATTATTGAAAAATTTTGCAATATTCTGCTGATTTTCATGAAAAATTGACAAAAAATATTGATTTATAATAAATTTTTTATGAATTACTTTGAAAATTACTTATTTCTTTAATTTACTGATGCTTATCGAAATTTTGCTTTGTACAATTTGCTAGATATTGGAAGTAGGAAAAATTATTAAACTATCATTGAAAATTACTGCTATATCAAAAATCTGATTCTTTCACTATATTTGTAAATAAATTCATAAAATTGTTTAGTTGCACCTAATATAAAGTATAAATACACGAAATATTGTAATTTTTTAATTACAAAGAAAGTTTTTATTTCATCTTAAAAGTAATTTTTTTTATAAAGTCACGTTATCAAGTTTGTAATGAAGAAGAAATAATAAATAAATATACATAAAAAAATATACTTATAAAATTTAGATTTTAAAATTTATTATTTTAAATTATTATCAAAAAGATATACTTATCTTAATCCTGCGATTGCTCTAATGCCATCTTACTATATTTCTTAATTGTTATTACATGGAGCCTTTCTATTATATGTGTTTAAATCACGCGGGCGGTATGACGCGTATATGTCCTACAGAACTGTTGATTTCCTAATCTATGAGAGATAAATATTAGAAGTGTGGGGTCTGAGTAGTTCAGTGGTCAGAACATTCGCCCGGCAAGCGGAAAACCCGGGTTCAATTCCCGGCTTAGCCACTCGCGCCCTGATATTTTTCTCTCTTTCTTTCTTTCCAACAAATCCTATATGTACATTAAGTTTCTCGATATATGAGAACAACGTATATAAATTTTCGTACACTTTAAGTATCTCGATCTGAGATCGGTGTACAATCTAACTGTCTCATGTAGACTAATTTATTAATTTCTTTAAGAAAAATTAAAATTTAGCACTAACATCCTGCGATTGCTCTAATGCCATCTTACTATATTTCTTGATAGATTACTTATGTATACATTCCTAGTCAATACAGAGCATTAGTTACATTATATCTATGTTATAACTTTGTACTCAATGTGTCATATAACACATGGTGTTATATTGCATTTACATTGTTGAGTACGAAATTATAACATAGATGTAATGTAACTAATGCTCGGTATTGACTAGGAATGTATACATAAGTATATCTTTTTATGTATATTTATTTATTTTATGTGTTATATAACACATGATGTTATACAATATAACACATGGTGTTATATTGCATTTACATTATTGAGTACGAAATTATAACATAGATGTAATGTAACAGATGCTTGGTGTTGACTGAGTTACTACAGTGTATTTTTTTACTCTCTTATTGTATGCATTTTAATGAACTACAATGAACAGTGCTGAATAACTTTTTTCTAAACTGAATACATAATTAAATTTCATAAAAAATACTTCAATATAAACAAAAAAAAAAAGATTTTTCACTGAATTTTTACTGAAATATTGATGAAATGATAATGAAATAAGGTCAATTGAAAGAGATTTTCAAATATATTTCAGCAAAATTTCGTTATATTTTCAAAAATATATTTCCATAAGGGCAATCACAGTCATTCTATTTTTCAGAGGAATAGCTGTGATTGGCCAGTTTCATAACTACGGATGTTACTAAACCCGATTAAGATTAACGTGTAAACGTAGTTAATTTATATCGTGAACAGTTGTCATTGCGAAGATTTTAATAGTAAAATGTACATATTTTATATTTCATTGTAATTAAAAATTTTTTTAATGTGTACCGCGCGCTTGTGTGTGTTCAGTCTTCTCTTAAAAAAGGCATTTTACCGATATATTTTGATAGTATCGAGGTGCATTGTTGCCATTTTTCGCGATGCCAATTGATTTCTTCATTGCACTTAGTTCATCAACGACTGTCAAGTTGCACACTTTGACAGTTCATATTTTAAGAAGGTTAATTAAACGAATTTAAAAAAATAAATCACGCGCGTGTAGCGCGCGCTTGTGTGTTAGTATTAGATAAAAAGGCGAATAGAATTGTTTACTTTTTATTACGCTCTCTTACCATTTTTGGTAATTATGCAGAATACCCGCTTCACCTCCGATTTTAATAAATGAGCACTCAATCGACGCGTTTTCACTTAAAACGAAAGAATCTGGCAGAAAAAAGCCGCGGTCTGCCTCGCGAAGCGAGTTATCGCACGTTAAAGTTGGAGAGTTTAGAGGTTAAGATACTTGTCATATCCACACGATGCAGCGCTATGTGAACATACTTTGGTTACATACGCAGTGGACACAATATTTCGCGAAATTTGAAACAAATGGAACATGTCAATACATATGTTATACTTGTGGTTATACATATGGACTTTGCTTTGCGTAGACACAAGGTATTCCGCTCCCCTCCCCCCCCCCCGGACGGGGGGGCGGACCCCCCGTGTAAAATAAAAATAACAAAACTTTCGTGCGTATTCCAGAGCGGCATAGATTGCTTAATCTATCAAACTAGCTTTAGCATTATATATTTTTGTGCAATCCAAACTAGCTTTAGCATAGCTAGTACGAATCAAAGTTGTATTGTGTTCTCACAACTAAAAGCAGCATACATTTTTTCACAATCAATCTTTTTCGCGCATGTACAGATCCTTAAGAGTTACTGCTACAAATGCACAAAGATCATAAGAATAAAATACTCGGCGACATTTTGCGTCGATCAAACTCCATTACTTTTTAACAATAATCGGAGCGGTATCATAGACCGTTTATCAGCCTGTGTAGCCGCAATTGCGAGAGCGCGATCTCGCGTTATCATGTAGAATCGTTGAGATACTCATTGTCAGACGCATTTACAAGAAAATAGTCATCGTCAACGCGCAGCTATTACTGGAATAAATCAGGTCTATTTCAATTCGAGTTTATCTACAAACCTGTCTACATCAATGACCGTTATCTCAAAAGCGTAATTATCGTTATTAACTTTGAAAAACAAGTATGTACAAAACACATATTCATCGACGTTCTTGAATATTGCGAAAGAATATTATACAAAGAAACAGCGCGTGATTAAGTTTTAAACTAAACTTTGAACAGTCCAATAGCGCAACATAAATTTCCGATTAAAGATTATTATCAATCGTTGCTTATCACATAAATTTCCATTACTCTTAGAATATTCAT